TGAAGGCCGAGTGACTTAGGAGACACACTTGTATATACAGTGACGGAAAAATTTGTCCGGATGTTTTGCATTAATTAGGGGTTTTGGGCTTTCCGACCACTGTACATAAAGTCTTAATGTTTAATGGTGGTACGCTTTGAGAAGGGCACATATTGGATGTGTTCACAGCACAAAAATCCATGATAGTACACCGGATCTAACTTAGTGCCAAAAGATATACGAAGAGTACATCTGGACAATTATTTCCCAAGACAAAGAGCAAACTTCCGCGCAGCGTTTCTAGTACCTAGTCCACCAACACTTGGCCTTGATCACCACCTGCACCATCCTAGGCATGTTATCCACGAAGTTAGGGCAAACATTTACAGGGATCTTCTGGCACTCTTTCTGGACCCACGCTTTTGTATCAGGGGGTAAGCACTAGGAAAATTGCGATGGATTTGAGCGTATGCAAGAGTATTGTGAACGATTTCTGACTGAATGTTATCTCTGAGACTAGCCACGCTGAGGTGTGGCCAAAGATGCCATAAGTCGATTGACTCCGTCTTATCATGGATCGTCTTAGTCGTACTGTTGTGGGGTAAAATTACGAGCAGAGTGGTGAAACTAGCGTATCTGTCGCGAAACTTAGGGTAACATAGCACGGTGGACTGTGCACCCTTGCACTACTAGAATCACGCTAGGATCCGTAGGTCTCGTCATGGTGCAGCAGTGGAAGAAGCGAAGACTGTTCAGAAAGAATATCCGGGTTGAGTTCTAGTGAGGAAAAGGGTCACTCACGCGCAACATACTCATACTCTCCAAGGCATTCCAAGCCATGTGTCCCGCCTAGGCTTGGAATGGCTTGGGGAGCATGAGTTTATAGCATTTGAGTGACCCTCATCCTCACCAGACCTCAACCCGGACATTCTTCCCCACCAGTCGGGGCTTCTTCGGCTGCTGCACCATGACGAGACCTGTAGATTTTATTGTGATTCTATTAGTGAAAGGGTGCACAGTCGACCGTGCTATGTTACCCTATGTTTCGCGGCGGACACGCATGTTTTCGCCACTCTGCTCGTAATTTTACCCTACAACGGTACGACGAAGATGATCCATGATAAGATGGGACTGATTGACTTATGACATCTTTGGCCACACCTCAGCGTGGCTAGTCTTAGAGATAACATTTAATCTGAAATCGTGCACAAAACTTTTGCATACGCTCAAATACTTCGCGATTTTCCTAGTGCTCACCCGCTTATGCAAAAGGGTGGGTCTATGAAGAGTGCGAGAAGATCCCTATAAAGGTTTGCACTAACCTCGTGGATAACATGCCTAGCAGGGTGCAGGTGGTGATCAAGGCCAAGTGTTGGTGGACTAGGTACTAGAAACGCTGCGCGGAAGTTTGCTCTTTGTCCTGGGAAATAATTGTCAGGATGTACACTTTGTATATCTTTTGGCACTAAGTTAGGTCCGGTGTACTATCATGGATTTTTGTGTTGTGAACACATCCACTATGTGCCCCTCCCAAAGCGTACCACCATTAAACATTAAGACTTTATGTAGAGTGGTCGAAAAGCCCAAAAACCCTAATTAATGTAAAACATCAAGACAATTGTTTCCGTCACTTGTACTTGGGGGAGCTGAGGTGCTATCTGGGCTTGGAGATCTCTTGTGACCGTGCAGCTCGCACGATCACACTCTCCCAGTCCCATATGGTACAGCAGATCCTCCTGAAGTTTAGTCTCCAGTTCTCCTCAGCACAGCCCACCCTTCTGCCTGTGGATCACAAGCTCTCTGCTCCTGTTTCGGCTGAGCCGGTCGAGGCTAGTGGTCCATACGCAGAGCTGGTGGGGTGCCTCATGTACCTGATGACCTACACTCGACTAGATCTAGCATACCCTCTCAGTCTCCTGGCTCGCTTTGTTGCGACTGGCAGGCACCCACTAGTCCACTGGTCAGCTATCAAGAGGGTACTGCGGTATCTTGCAATTACATCAGGACTGGGGCTCGTACTAGGAGGACGGGAGCCAATGGTGCTCACTTGAAACACAGACGCGTCATACGCTGACGACTTGGAGATGCTCAGGTCGTCTCAAGGCTACTGTTTTAGTATTGGTGCTCGTGCATTCTCGTGGAGGTCCACCTGGTCATCGATTGTAGCTCAGTCCAGTTGTAAGGCAAAGATCCATGCTGGGGCCATGGCCGCTCAGGAGTTCCGCTGGCTCACAGACTTAGGTAAGCAGCCTAGGTCTGCCCTGGTCCTGTTTGCTGATAACAGGGCCATGATCCTCCTGTGTCAGGAGGCTCGACTTGAGGGCAGGGCAAAGCACATCCAGCTTTGGTACTTCCTGTTGCGTGAGTTCCAGCAGCACGGCCAGGCTCGAGTGGTAGAGTTGGCCTTAGAGACCAACACCGCTGATATCTTCACCAAGGCACTTGCGCCTCGTGACCATCAGCGGTTCTGTACTTAGCTTGGTCTCGTCTCCGTAGCTGCACCACTCCTTGTATCCTGAGTCGTACTATACCTGCTTGTACTTGTTGTTCTACATATGCTTGCCTTGCTACACTTGCTGAGTGGCCCTGTGGCCTCTTGTCTCAGTGGTCAGAGTAGTAGTGCTGCCCTAAGTTGCCTTGTTGCCTTCACCAGAGGTCAAACTAGTTGTGCCGCCCTGGTGTACTCTGCCTTGTTATGAACTACCACTATCTAGGCTAGGGGGTGTGTCAACAAATATACTTGTATAGATTAGCTATGTCATATTTGTATATTTTCTATCTAGTTTTAGTTCTTAGCGAGTACAGCCCTAGTTTGTATCCCGCGACATTTTCCGTTGGTCACACCTTTTCCTGCTACTCTAACACTGACACCCGTACTAAGAGAAGGCAAGGGACTCTGACGAATCAGACAGGCCCAAAACCAATCCGGGGCCTGGTTCAAACAAAATAGCATGGTTTCTCTGATTTTCACACTTCTTCTAGAGGTGGCTCTGACACCCACACCAAGGGAAGGCAGGGGACACTGCGAATCAAATATGCCCAAAACCAATTTTGGGCCCTAGCTAGTAGGTAGCTATTGTTGAATCTGTGTGTGACCATCAGGGCTTCATATTGGATTTTGAGGGGCTGTTGGCTCAGGATGCCCCAGCAGGAGGCCCCGTTTTCAGGGTCGGGTTTTGGAAGTTGCGATTTTTTTCAGGGTAATTTTTTTCGAAGGCTGAATGACCAGGACTGAAATTTTTTCAGAGCTGAGATGATAGGGTTGAACCTCGGCGATTTTTTTAGGGTGGGTAGGATTTTAACCTAGCACATTATGTTAGACAGGGCATGCTTTGTCAGGCCAAAAAAATTGAAGCCTGATTAATCAGGTACATCTTTTAGGTTTGTGATCCTTAGATCGGATCAGACTTCACTGCGTACAAATTGTCACACTACCAGCGTGATTTTGGCCAAGGACTACTCACACCCCTCACACCTGCTCCAATTCGCGTCAGACTGCCTGCGTGATTTTGGCGAAGGACCAATCACGCCCCTCACATCTGCTCCAACTCGCATTACCTGTGTCATTTTGCTTAAGGTCCAGCCACGCCCCTCACACTTGCTCCAGCTCGCGTCAAATTGCCTGCGTGATTTTGGTGAAGGACCAATCACGCCCCTCACATCTGCTCTAGCTTGCATCACCTGCATCATTTTGGCGAAGGACAAGTCACGCCCCTCAGAGCTGCTCCAGCTCGCCTCGACCAGTCAGATAGGATTCTGGTTCAGACTGGAAATCCGTTATGGCTAATCATTCATGGTGACCAAAACCATAACATACAATATTTCAGGCCTGCTCAAATGAGAACCCCTAAAATTCAGGCCTTGGAAAAATCAAAAACTGAAAGAACAGGACGACAAAAAAAAGGGTCGATGGAATCGTCTTAGGGTTGCGGAGCTATAATTTCTCAATTATCGTGTACGTTCCATTCCGACATCATGCGTACAAACATTTAATGAAATGTTGTCTTACGTTTTACACTTGGAAACATACAATTATAGTGCAATTACCATTTGAATGCACTTTGTGATTTTGTTTCCATACATCATATTTCTAAGCACTGTACATAACTTGTTGTGAAAGTTTATCTGGGTCTTTAGGGCGTAATCCTAGAACCTGATCACGGGATCAAACATGCGAGAAATCCTACTTCACTGTACTCAAACGCGTTTTTAACCGTTACACCGCATAGTACCAGGAAACAGGAATACGCCCTCCAATTTGGCTAGGCTAGCAAAACAATCGTCACATAGTTTATCCCAGGATGCGAACCCCGACAGTCCCTACAGAAATTTGCAGCAAACCATTGTGCTAGTCATCCTTATCACTGAACTGTGATTGTTAATTCCAGTCTTTAGAATTTGCGACGAGGGCAAGATTGCTTGGTGTTTCATCCTCATTTTTCTCGCCAGCTTGAACCCTTGTCTCCTACTGCTCCCATGTTTCTCGCCAACAACGGTTCCTAACGCGCCTCCTTACCTCTCACAGGTAACAAATCATCTCCCTGACTGCTAGCTATGTGTAACGCTTCTATTCATTGCACCTTGAAATATTTTTTTTTGCTGCACCATACTAGGTTGTATGGTGCAGCAAAAAAATTTATTTCAAAGGGCTGCCGTCCGTTGCGCGTTGGCGCCATGCACGCCGGTGCATAGCGAGGCGCGGTGGCACGTTGCGCGCTGCTGCCTAGTGTGCGGGCGCGTTCCGCGCTAGCACATTGCGCGCTTGCGCCCCGTCCATCTCTTCCCACGCCTCCCTTGTCTTCCCTGCCTTCCATCCCCTCCTTCCATTCTTCATTCCTCATTTCCCTTTTCACACACTCTTTCTCTTATTCATTCATTCTCTAATGTCTTCGTTCACTCATTCTCCCATTCACCCACTCTCTTATTCTCCCACTCACCCACTCTCTCATTCTCCCATTCGTCCACTCTCATTCTCCCACTCACACATTCTATCATTCTCTGATTCTCGGATTTTCTCTTTGACTCTTCTCCCGTTCACCCATTCTCTCATTCTCTCATTCTCTCACTCAACCCATTTCTCTCGGTCTCTCTCTCTCTCTCTCTCTCTCTCTCTCTCTCTCTCTCTCTCTCTCTCTCTCTCTCTCTCTCTCTCCTCTCTCTTTCAATATCTCTCTCTCTCTCTCTCTCTCTCTCTCTCTCTCTCTCTCTCTCTCTCTCTCTCTCTCTCTCTCTCTCTCTCTCTCTCTCTCTCTCTTTCTCTCTCTCTCTCTCTCCCTCTCTCTCTTTCTCTCTTCCTCTCTCTCTTTCTCTCTGTCCCTCTCTCTTTACTTTTCTCTCTCTACCTCTCTCCCTCTGTCTCTCTCTACCCCTCTCTCTTTCTCTCTCTCCCTCTCTCTTTACCTTTTCAGGGTAATTTTTTTCAGAGTACTACCATGCATTATCTTCTCAACTAAACTTGTGTTCTTTTCATGTTATCTCTTTTTTTTGCCACGTGTGTTGGTGCTTCATGAATGCCGTTAGAAAGGATCTCTGATTTCCAACTGTGCTTTTTATCTACATTAGACTGCCACATCACATAACATGTTTCAATTACTTCTACTTGTCGCCTTTCTTTCTCGTGATGCATTTTGGGGTCGAAGTGTTGTGTCTCTGCCATTTGTTTTGCATTGCTGCCCTTCTCCATTCTGCTACTGCTTGCTTTATACACGGGTAGTGCATTTTGTGTATGAAATAAAAAGGTTGTACTGATCGTCTCGAGTAATGTTCTTTGACTTTCCACCCTGAGTGCAGTCACTTGAACTGGAGATGATAAGTGCTATATATTTTCTTGCAATCGTGAAGTGCATTGCCTAAAAAAAAATTGTGACCTGTCTATTAGGCTTTCAACTTCCCCCACTTAGCTAGGGAAGCGATTGCCTATTTTTGTCGCCGACAAAAATAAGTCACGCGAAATGATGGGAAACATTTACATTTTTGTTCTTGTTTTCCATCATTTTGTTATATTTTCCAGTACCATAGTGTAATTACTAAATTGCACGATATTATACGTCTCAATTGCTCCCTTCCACATATCGCGAAATGATGGAAAACATGAAATCTTTTCCATCATTGTTTCGTTTCAAGTTTTATATTGTAATAGTGATATGCCACATGTTTCAATTATTTGCCAAACTAATATAAGCTAATGAAGCTATGCAAGTTTAGATGAGCCATCCACAATATATTGCCAATACTCCCCATCATTTTGCTTCAATTAATATCCTATTTTTCATCAAACTTGATAAAACTTGAAAAAAAAATCGTCTGATCGATCGCAATAGGTTGCCCCGCAACCCAAAAAAACACCCTACTATACAGCATTCCAGGGCATTTTGTCCTGACTTATGAAGCCCTGGTGACCATATACCAAGCTCCAATACTTGAGTATGGTAGCTAGACTGGGGTGATGCTGATGAAAGAGAACATATAGAAAAGTGTACTCAGTGGTCGAAGGCTTCACATGTGCAGTGCATTGCTTGAAAAGATATGTGTTTGAAGAATAATTACATTTTTTTAGAGTGTAAACGTTCCGAGCTAATCCGAGCAGACTATACCGGCCCACTGGCTGTACACGTACTTTCCATTCCACTTTGTGAAGCTGGTGTGCACATGAACAGTCTCAGCACCTGAAGGCTGGCACGGCTGCTGTACAGATAGACACAAGGGTCTGGCATGACGAATTATTTCTCCACAATGACGCCTATCAGCCTCCTAATTCTGCCATGCTGGCGCGATCTGTCCACTCCCTGAACAGCATTTGGTTGAACCACACCAACGATTTTCTTTACACGTAGCCATCTCCCTTCGCGAGCCACGGTGGATCAGCACCTTTCGCAACCAGAGTCGCAGCAACTATCGCACCAATCATGCTGGGCAATGCCAGATGAGGCTGGCAGTTTTAGCACGTGCTAAAGACGTATCGCATCGGACACGCCTTTGCTGCGTTGGCTCAGCCATTGCCAGTTCACGTGGGGTGAAGACTGTGCGCGGCTCGGCTAACGCGGTGTTGAAGTTTGGGCGGAGCACCGAGGGAGCCTTGGGTTGCGGTGGCGGGTTATTGAGAGGAAAAGAAAAAGCTTTTTGGTGCTCGCGGCATATTCTTGCCGCTGCGCTGACCCGCCTTTTCCGCTTTGCAGCAGTGCCATTCCCATCTTCCCCCCTCCCCCCTCCCCCCTCCCCCATTCTCCCTTCCCCTCCCCCTCTCTCCCCCCACTTCTTCCGCCTGTCCCTGCAATTCTTTTCTCAACCACCCCTCCTACAAAGAAGCGCTCAATCTCGCTTCTCTCTCAGCATTCGTTCAAGCAATCCACATTCGAGCCCATCTGATAGAGCCATTCTCGTTATACTTGCATCATCTCCCTCCGCTTCCGTTTCGGAACGTCCGCTCAAGCTCACCACAGCTCATAGGGACCTAGTCGACTGCAGCAAATCCTTGTTAATAACAAGGCTATTTCCTCCGACAGATAATTCTTCCCGCTTCTGCTGCTGCTCCTGCCGCTCTCCTCTTCTCCCTGCTCTTCCTCCCTATTCCAAACGCCATGGAGGTCACTCAAGTGTCCAGCCGCGTCGTGTACGCCGACGCCGAGGGCGCGGTCCACATGGGCCTGCCCGTCTACATCGACGACACGGGCGCGTGCCACGCGGGGTGCGTGGAGCAGGCCGCCGAGGACGCGGCCGTCGTGAGCACCATTTTCGACGGCACCGCGACGACGGATTCGAGTGCCGCGGAGAAGAAGCTCATGGTGGAGCGCGTTGTCGAGCAGGCCATGCAGGTGGAGGAGATTTCCGAGGACGGCGAGCGCCGCCGGAAAGTCCGCGCGATTATGAAGCGCCTCCAGACGTCCCCCAGTGGCCGGTCTCTCGAGGAGAAGGGTACGCTGCTGGCTGGATTGGTTTCCTAGGTCCCTAGGTCCCTAGTTTCGTAGTTTCGTTGTTTCTTTGTGAGATATGGCCTTGCTTCCTCATCGTTCTTTCTTTCGCCGGGGCGCGGCGCTAACGCGTGTGTGGTTCGACTCGTTTTCGTGTCCTTTTTTGTTTCGCTCCGTGGCTGTGCAGATGCCCTCCGTCGCGCTATCATCTACGACCGCACGCTGCGAAGGCAGGCCAGCGCTGACAGCGTGAGTAACCTCGCCACCTGCACTTACCACCTGCATGCCACCGCCGCCGCCGGGTTTTGCGCCGCCGCTACCAAACTCTGCATGCCCCCCTCTTATCGCCGCTGCTTGCCAGTTTTTTTCTCCGCGCCTTTTTCCTTCTGATCTCTTAAGGCTAATGTATCTTTCCATTCTTCTTTTCCTCTGAATTTTGCGTGCAGGCCACAACATCGCAGAACATTTGCTTCCTGACTGCGGCGCCCATGCCGCTGCTGCTCCCCTCCGTCTTCTAGCTCGCTCCCTCCCTGCCGTCTTTCTAACACGCTACTATTGTCCGTCGTCTCTTCCGCCGTCGCCGTTTCCGCCGCGTCCCATCCTGCCGTATCTTCCGTCGCTCTTCTCCTCGCTTTTGTCCATCTCGCTTCTCCACAATGAGCCGCCCATCCATCCAACCGTTATCCGTCCGTCGCACCTGCCGAACCTGTTTGTACAGTGGTTGTCTACTGTAGACCCGCTGGCAGCAAGCTCATTATTGTCTCGCCAGCTCCCATGTCAATACGCTGTACATTGCCGGATTTTGATATGAGATGGGGGAGTTGCAATTGGTTTTCCGCTCATTGGTTTTGACTCACGTTCTGTGAATGCGCAAAAGATGAAGCTGCACCAAATGTGATACACATCCCTTTACATTGAAACGAATTAGAAACCAAACAGTGTCCTTGAGTTGTGCATGAGGAAATCTAAGTTTGAGACATCAAACTTCCGTGCAAAAAGGAAGCAGTTGCGTAATTGACCCCCCACAACGCAGAAGCCATTGCTTGTAATCTACCATTGGACAGAAGGTTGCAGAGCATGGGGGAAAAGAGAAAAATGAGGGGCGAGTGGGAAGCTTACTCTCAATGTGGAGGGACTTTCTGTGAGGACATACCATGGTTGGAGAGGGGAATACAGAATGTATGGGAGGCGGTAGTACTGTGGTGGAGTGACAGTGCAAGCAAAGGCTAGGAGAGCAGAGAGGAGAGGAGAGCACAGAGGAGGAGAGAAAAGAGCAGAGGAGAGAAAAGAGCAGAGGGGAGAAAAGAACACAGAGGAGAAGAGAAAAGAGCAGAGAGGAGAGCAGAGAGGGGAGAACAGAGGAGAGCAGAGAGGAGACCAGAGCACAGACCAGGGTGCAACATTCAAATTCCGTACCAGGGGTGGCTGTGGAAGGGAGGGGTCGACAATCTGTAACCAGATTGGGATGGGATGCACGGGAAGGCAAGTGGGAAAGGGGAAGGCAGAGAGGCATAGGAGACTTGTGGCTGGAGTCGAAAGTGTAGCAGGTGAGATGAGATGAGAGCTTACAACCAGTATATGATAGAAAGGAGGGTACAGAGTGCTGTGCCAACGTGCTGCTGTGCACAAAGTGCAATTAGGGGCTGGTGCTAAATGGAATGCGTTTATGTGGGGAAAGCAAGTGAGCGTGAGGGGAGAGAGGGGGGGGGCTGGGAAAGAGAGAGAGGGGGCGGGGGGGGGGGGGGGGGAGAGAGGGGAGGGGGGGAGGGGGCGGTTGTGAAGAGAGGGAGATAGCACTTACATGAGAGAAGTTTGACTTGAAGTCCTTCCAGAAGCTCTTGTAGGGGACAAAGTGCTTCGCAGCCTGGGCTCGTTGAGTGCACCACACATGCACGCATGGGACAAGAGAGCAAGTAAAAGTAAGACAAAGAGGGCACATGATACTCTGCGAGAGCGCACTCGCATGTGGGAGCGCATGTGGGAGTGCATGTGGGAGAGCATTTAGGAGCGCATGTGTTTGGATGTAGGATGGGAACGCATGTTTGTGTGAAAGTGATGAAGCCCGACCAACGAGACGGCAGCAGCAGCAGCTTAGATGATGCGAATGCGAACAAGAGACAGCTATAACAGGATGAGTTTTAAGTCGACTGGAAAGTCATTTGGAGTCGACTTGAAAGTCAACTGGAGTCGACTGATAAGTAATTTTGGGTCAACTCAGCAGACGGCGAAAGCTCAGATGATGCTAGTGCTAGCAAGAGATAGCCAGCTATAGCAGCGGAAATGAGTACACATCTTGAGGGAGAGAGGCGGAATGGAGCACACCGCACACTGTTGGAGGGAAGCGGAGGGCACACCTTGATGGTTCGAATGGTGTGTGCGGTGATGTTGTCTGCCGTGAACAGCTTCGGGTGCCAGTCCGCCTCGCTCCAGTCAGCAAATGTGGAGGAGAAGCCAGAGATGCCCGCCCGATCCCACGTCTGGTTCGGGGTTCCGGACAGGGTTGGAGAGGTTTAGGGCGTAGGATTGGCCTTCGAGTCGACTCCAAGGGTTGGGAATCCAGGGTCTAGGGTTGGCTTCTGAGCTGACTCAAAGTCGGGGCTTGGGATGGGATTGAAGATCCGAGGTTTCGGGGTTGGAATGAGGTTCATGGTTGAGGGTTTGGGTTGAGAGCTTGAGGGGTGAGAGAGTGGATGGTGGCAGAGTGAAGGTGATACGAGAGAGTGAGCCGCATGGAAAGAGAGTGAGAAGCAACTTGTGTGAGCAAGAATCACGCTTGGTGGTTGGTTGGTAGGCTATGTGCCGTGTGTTTTGTGGCGGTGGTGGCAACGGCACCGGCAGTGGCGGCAGCGGTGGCGGCGGCGGCGGTGGTGGTGGTGGTGGTGGTGGTGGTGGTGTTACAACTGAGTAACTGAGTGTGCAGTCATGGTAGGTAGCTCACTCACGTGCAGGAGTATCTGCACGTAGTGCTCGTCCTTTGAGACGTCTCACAACAGAAACTGCTTCCTGTTTCGCGACTCACGTGTAGGAGAATCTGCACGTAGTGCTCGTCTGCACAGCAGAACCTGCTACCTGTCCTCATGCGAAACTGAATCAAAACGGTGCGGCGTGGGAGAGAGGAGGGAGGCGAGACGGGAAGAGAGGGTGGAAGAGATGGGAAGAGGGGCAGCAAGTGAGGCGGAAACTTTTTTGAGACGTCTCAAAATAAGGGAAAAGAAGTTGGGGAGAGTGATGCGGGGGAGAGAGAAGGAAGCATGGTGGAGGGGGAGGGCACATGGTGGCAGTGTACGACACAATGTCAGAGAAGAGGGGTGGGTATGGGGAAGGAAAAGAAGAGAGAGTGTGGGTATGGGGAAGAGAGGCTGAACAGGGGGAGAGAAGAGGGTAGAGGGTGGGGGTGGGAGGATCATGGAAAAGTGCTTTGAAAGGACAGCCGGACTCTTGGGAGAAGCTTCATGGTTGGGGTTGTTTCCAGGGACAGGTTCTTTTCAGAATTCCCAAAACATATCAAATGATGGGGTTGCTTCCACGAGTAGGCATGTGTGTGCATGTGGAGGGGGGGAAGGGGTGGGGGGAGGGGGGAGGAGCGAAGGGGAGGAGAGAGGGGGGGGGGGGGGGAGGAAATGCCCACACGTACCGCACAGCTGGCCTTGTGTCTCCTATAGTGTGTAGTGTCTTGAAGCACGATGCGCGCATGCCGTCTCTGCAGCACAAACCACTGCACTCCACTCAAGCACATACGCGTGTACGTGTGCGTGTGCGGAAGGGGGAGGTGGCAGGGGGGGGGGGGGGGGGGGGAGGGGAGGATGGAACCACAATCATGCAAGCAGTTCCCACAGCTCGAGAATGTTCACAAAAGCGCACCAAAGCAAGCCGTGAGCCGTGAGCTGTGAGCCGTGAGCCGTGAGCCGTGAGCCGTGAGCCGTGAGCCGTGAGCCGTGAGCCGTGAGCCGTGAGCCGTGAGCCGTGAGCCGTGAGCCATGAGCCGTGAGCCGTGAGCCAGGAGTCGTGAGCCGTGAGCCATGAGCCGTGAGCCGTGAGCCGTGAGCCGTGAGCCTTGTGCCCATTTGGTTCCCACCTGGGTGCCGCCCTCGTAGTGCTCTCCCTCTTGATGTCCGGATAGAAAAAGTGACGCTCATAGTGGTGGAACAGTGCTTGTAGGAAGGTGAAGCTCTGGTGAGGTGAGTCGGTAGCCGTGAGTCGGAAGCTGTGAGCCATGAGGTTCTGTGAGATCATGGCTCAGGGCTTACGACTCACGGCTCCTCAAAAACAAGCCACGAGAAGCCCTCATCATGATGATGTTCTGTGAGATGGCTTAAGCGCACCTGGCTGCCGCCCACGTAGTGCTCTCCCTCTTGAAGTCCGGATAGAAAAAATGCCGCTCGTAGTGGTGGAACACCATTCGTGGGAAGGTGACTGCTTCTCATAGTGACGTGAGCCGTGAGCATTGAATCGTGAGCGTGCTTGCTACGCACCTGGCTGCCGCCCACGTAGTGCTCCCACTTGATGTCCGGATAGAAGATGTGTCGCTCGTAGTGGTGGAAGGGCCATGCCAGGAAGGTGACTGCTTCTCATAGTGAGGTGAGCCGTGGCCTGTGACCTGTGTCCTGTGGCCTGTGACCTGTGAGATGTAGCCTGTAAATCGTCAACCTGCTACAAGCGCACCTGGCTGCCGCCCACGTAGTGCTCTCTCTTGATGTCCGGATAGAAGATATGCCGCTCGTAGTGGTGGAACGCCTCCCCGTACCGGTCATAGTCGCTGGAGGAGAGAGAGGGGGGGGAGCAAGGGGGATGGGGGGAAGCGGGGGGAAGAGGTGGGGTTTTGGAAGGGTCTCAAGGGGGGGCTTGTAGTGGTGATACGCCTCCTTGTACAGTGGAGTCATTTTCTAGAATTCTCAGACACGCCTCCTTGTAGTGGTGAAACTCCTTGTGCCGGCCATAGTTGCTGGAGGACAGGGAGGGGTAAGAGAGTGGGGAAGGGGGGTCGAGGAGGCATTGGGAGGGGGACAGGTGGGGGTCTGAAAGATCTCCGAAGGCGCTGCTGTATTGCAAGGACTCGAGGGGCGTGTAGCGGTGAAACGCCTCCCGTGCCGGTCATAGTCGCTGGAGGAGAGAGGGGGGGGGGATTAGGGGAAGGGGAAGAGGGGAAGGGGGGTCTTGCAGTGGGGGGAGAGCAGGTGGGGGTCTGAAAGATCTCAGAAGGCGCTCGTGTTCTGAGGGGTCTCAAGGGGGCTTGTAGTGGTGAAACGCCCCCCGTACCGGTCATAGTCGCTGAAAGAGAGAAGGGGGGGGGAGTAGAGAGGGAAGGTAGAGGTGGACAGGTAGAGGAAGGGAGGTAGAGGGAGGGAGGAAGTTGGGGGGGGGTAAAGGGAGGGAGGTAGAGGGGGGGAGGTAGAGGGGGGGAGGTAGAGGGGGGGGATTTGAGTTGTCTTAGGGAGGGGGAAGAAGAGGAGGAGGTAGAGGGGAGGAATGAGTGAGCATATTGTGGAGGGAGAGTGAAGGTGCGCGGAGGGAGAGTGAATGAAGGCGTGAGGAGGGAGAGTGAAGGCGTGAGGGGTGAGAGTGGGGGTGTGAGGTAAGAGACAGCAGGTACATGCAGAGGTACATTGAGCCACTCACGCGTCCAGTAGACTGACGTGTGCCGTTGCGATGTAGTCATGAATGTAGTCAAACGGCCACAGAGGAATGCACCTGCCACAGAGCAGCAATGGGGGAGTGAGAGAGAGAGTGCGTTGTACAACACAACACAATAGGAGCAAGTAGGAACGAAAGAGAGTGCACACAATATAAGGGTAGGGTAGTGGGGAGGAGGGGCGGGGGACTCTGTAAACATGCAC